GTAGTCCCCGCCCCTGAGGCCCAGGCGCAGAGGGGAGCCGCGCGTGGCGCCCGCCCGTCCCCGTTCTCCCGCCATGATCCCCTCTGCCGCGCCACACCCCCACCCGCGGGCTCCTACGGCAAAGATAGGGTCGGATTCTCATCCGTGCCTGCGAAGGCACAAGGCACCGCAGTAGGTTGCTCTGGTAGGAGAAGGCCGGGTGGAGCGGGTCACCACCGCCCGGGGTTTGTCCCCACGCCTGTCAGTATTCACTGGCTTTCCCACGCAAGCACATGGTCAGCTGAAGCCTGGCGTAGGCAATGGGCACCTCGTTAGCATTCATGCAGGCCCCGGAGCTCGGTGGCAGTTGGTGCCCGCGTGCACAGTTCACAGCAAGACCTCGGACTTGTCTAAACGTTAAACCAGTTCTAGATTCGCCTGGGCCCCCCCGGCTGCACCACTGCAACCGCACACGTGAAGAGCAGCGTTGCTGCCGTCCAACTAAAGCCACGTGCGCGTGGTCTGGCCTGTCCCTGAGGCGCCACAGCTGACTCGTCCACAAATTAATTCTGCAGTAGTTCCTACGTGCTTATTGCACACGTGAGGTAAAGCCTCACCCATGCGGGGCCCGTTCATCTGAAGTTCCTAGGCACTAGCAGTCCATCAGATTGCTCCTGAAATCTTGGGCAGAACATTACAGTCAGTGCAGTACCCTCCTGTTCAAGTGACTGAATTTCTACCTGTTCCCCATGACCCTGCTCCACCTTTAGGCAGTCCTTCCCTCTGAGCAGCATGACGCTTCTCAAAGGTCTGAACAAAGCACAACCGAAATCCTTAAACACCTGCATCTCATTTGTGTACTTCGCCTGCGCTGATGTGCATTTTTTGTAAACTAATCGAGATTTGTAAAACACTTCCAGATTAATTAAAAAGCTATCATTTTAGAAGTATTTATTTGTCTTCTGCAAGCCACACCTACTCAAAACACCCCCGCTTGGGATCTTTCACAGTAGTCACAAAGGCACAGGTTTCCCTTATCCCCCAGCACCTGCAGTTGTCTTAGGCAGTAAGACTTCAGCAAAGATATTTTTGTTCATAAAACACATGAGGAAAGTCATTGCTCATCTAACGCTTACATTATTGCAGCTGCATATGAAGTACAGCTACTCAGGATGCCAAACATCCTTGCCAATTCACTGAATGCGACTTCTTGGTCATTACTACTAGTTTTAGGAATGAAATAGTTCCGTACCTCTTATTCTTTCTTATCCTAATCAAGCACAATAGGGGAAGGAACTTGCATGGGAAAAGGAATGAATTTCCAACCTCTGTGGTACATTTCCACTCAAATTGCTTTTCTGTGAAGAAAGCAGCTATTGGGTGAAATCATCTAATTGCTGTTGCTTATAAAACCAAAAAGCCCTAATCCTGATGTTATCTACAAGAGTACTTCTGTCGTGGTTTAACCCCAGCTGGCAACTGAGCACCACGCAGCCGCTCGCTCACTCCCCCCACCGTGGGATGGGGGAGGGAATCAGAAGAGTAAAAGTGAGAAAACTTGAGGGTTGAGATAAAGACAGTTGAATCGGTAAAGCAAAAGCCATGCACGCAAGCAAAGCAAAGCAAGAAATTAATTCACCACTTCCCACAGGCAGGCGGGGGTTCAGCCATCTCCAGGAAAGCAGGGCTCCATCATGCATAACGGTTACTTGGGAAGACAAACGCTGTAACTCCGAACATCCCTCTCCTTCCTTCTTCTTCCTCCAGCTTATGTACTGAGCAGGATGTCATATGGTGTGCGATACCCCCTTTGGTCAGTTTGGGTCAGCTGTCCAGGCTGTGCCCCCTCCCAGCTTCTTGTGTACCTGACAGAGCTGAGAAGTCCTTGGCCAGTCTAAGCACTACCCAACAACAACTAAAAACATCAGAGTGTTATCAACATTCTTCTAGTACTAAATCCAAAACACAGCACTATACCAGCTACTTGGAAGAAAATTAACTCTGTCCCAGCTGAAACGAGGACAGTATCCACCCCTTATTCCATACCCTTTACAACATGCTTAGGTCTCACTCTATCCAATACATCCTTGTTAATCACTACACCCCTTCCCATCCTTTAATATATTACACAGATATCATTCCCTTAATCCATGGACCACCCTTGTAAAATGTCCATAAAATGTCCAGAAATGTCCGCAAAATGTCCATCGAGTTCATTTAGTCCACAACTTTGGGCTCCATCTCTTATGGTGTTCACTCAGGACAGGAGAGGTGGTGTGTTGCGTGGAGTTACTGGGCACCAAAGCCAGCCCAGGTCGCTGCACTTGCACTGCTGCTTGTAAAGGCTTGTTCTCCCTTGGTTCAGGTGGTTCTTGCTCTAGTAATTCCTACAACATGCAACTCAAATCATGGCTTACAACAAATTTAGAGGTATATCCATTACAATCTCCACCCCTGGTCCCTTTTGGCCAGCTTACAGTATTTAACATTGCAATGAACTCCTCCCCTTGCTCCTACTCCGGCTTAGACTTATCCACAGCCTGCAGTCCCTTAAGGCTGTACCCACTCCAAGTGGAGCCTTATCCATAAGCCACAGTCTCTCCAGAGGTATACCTGCTGTGGCATGGACTTATCCACAGCTGCAGCTGCTTCGAGGTGCACCTATTCCAGTGTGGCCTTCTCCATGGGTCACAATGCCTTCAGAGATGTTACCTGCTCCAGCATGGCCTTACCCACAGCCACAGTCCCTTCAGAAAAGAACGTGCTCCAACATGGCCTTACCCACGGCTGTCATGCTTACCCTGCTCTGTCATGAGCTTATCTATGGCCACTCTGAGGTGCTGCATCACAACCTCATGCACAGCCACTGATGCTTTAAGGTGTACCTGCTGCAGCATAGAGTCATCCACAGGAGAGAACTCTACACAAATCTTCTATAGAAGAACTTACAGAGCATGACTTCTGCCACAAGAACCTCAGTAGACTCAGGATACATAAATGAGAGATATCTATACTCTTCCCTCCTAATTTTTATTAAAAATTGTTCATAATTGGACCACTGGATCATGGTACTTGGACAAAAAGGAAATGGAAGTTTTATTTGTTCCACTATCTTTCAACTTTTTTTTCAGTTATAAACCTTCCAACAGACCAGTAAGTGTATTCAATACATATTTCATTAAAATACACGCATCTCTATAAGCACACAGACATTCACACACCTTTTAACACTGCAGCACTAAACCTATGTTTTGCAAGTGAGCAGGCCTGCAGTTCCTATTCCTTCTTCATTGATGAGGTAAACTTGTAACATTTACCCTCTTTTCAAGCTTTGGCTCCACAAGCTGAGGAAAAAAACCCCAAAACAGCTTTCTTGTTCACAATACAGATTTCTGTATTAGGTTTCATAACTTCTCTCACCCAAGTAATTTCTAGTAGTTCTAATTCAAATATTCCACCCTATATCTTGTGATTACAGCCCTGCCTATGTTTGAGTATAAGCTCCCATTTGGCAGCCCGATTCAGCTGCAATTTCAGCAGAAGTTTCACATTACTTTTCCGGGTGAATTTTGTATATTGAACCTTCAGTGCATATATCACTTTAAAAAGATTACAACATACTTTATGCGAAGTTACACTTACTAAGTGGGACCAAAAAAAAATTTTAAAAATCAACGTTTCCCATTTTCTTGCGGAAAAAACCCAGTGGTATTATACAAGTCTTCTCCTCAGTGTTTCCTAATAAGAACCTGATGCTTCCTGGTGACTTTGTGAACCATTACACAACATCTATTTATGTTACTACTAGCTTGCAGGATCAGATTCATAGTCTATACTTAAAAAACCTCAGTGGGTTATAAAACAAAATTGCATCTCTGTTAAGACATGTGTATCAGATTTGCTTCAAAATGAAACAGTAATAAATTCAAAGTAGATCCTTTATGGCATTTTGAACTTTACCGATTTCTGTATCCTTAGCTGGAAGGAAAATAAATTGAGTGATAAAGTGAGAATCATGTGGCAGAGGGAGAAAGGCAGAAAAGCTTTAGTGAAACATTCAAAACATTTTTTTAAATAGGAAAAAGAAACTTCTCCATCTCTGTTCCTATTAAGATTACAGAAGAATAGCCAAGAATTTCCAGAATGAAAACACACACTGGAACGCAAGACTTTAATTTGGGATTAAATAGTACAGCTACTCTATTTGTGCAAAGTTCAATGCATCTAAAAATATCACAGACAAAAATGGAAAGCTCGCATTCAGAAAAACAAATCTTTGACCTTCATTTCATCTATATGAAAGGGGATCTCCTATGTATGGTGAGAAGAAGAAAGCACCATGTAACATGTAGTGCCATCAATCCTACTATTTTACTTTCATGTCCAAGACACGTTGCTGCTGCTACCACAGGACTGCAAAACTGTAGTTGAAACACAACGGGGGAAACAGCAAATCTTTTGCACCTTCTCTATAAATCGCTAAAAGTGAGCAACCATAGACTTTTATTCTTTTTTTTTTTTTTTCTCTGTTTCTGTAGCAGAGGGAGGTAAGATTTCTCAGAGGTGACCTTCCCGTTCATGTAAAACCAGGCTCTCAGCCGGCCTTTGTGTGACCACCAGAGGGCAGGGCAGATGTAGCAGAGGATTAAAGTTTTCTTACCCAGTAGGGTACAGACCACGGCAACAAAAGCTGCACTTTTATTTCTTGAAAAGATAATTTATTACTTAGTGCTCTCTTTGTAAAAGCCTTAGATAGGAAAAGGTTTAAAATCAGTCTAAGGAGTCCAATGCTGTCTTTTCACCTAGAAATTATTTCAGATAGCTACACAGAGACAAGACATTCATCAGCTTATCACCCTTTTAATTCTTAAGTGAAATTACGTCTTTTAAGCAGCGAACACAAAGACCTGATGTTTTCACCAAGGTTTTGAGTGATGAAAGCAAAAAAGTGTTACCTTTTAACAACAAGGTTTAGACATTGAACAGTGACTGTGACAACAGAAGTGTTAATAAGTAAGAGCAATTTATTGAATCACAGATGGAAGTTATCAGTATTTAGAATACCAAATTGCAACATAAAACCCCCCACCACTCATACCCAAGCTTAATACAAAATTATACAAGTGTTAATGCAAACTCAAATTACACATCACATACATACCAGAAATGAAACAGCTACAGTACACATGCAAAAATACCACCTAGGAGTTTCCTTTACTCTTTCTTTCCTGGCACTTTAATAAAAATACTGTCCATATTATAGGCTAACCTTCCCTTCCTCAGCTGATTTCTTCATCCACCTTTTAAAATAACAGGCAATGAATAATAAAATTTTAAAGAGCTGTCCCTCGTTCTACTTGGCCCAAAATGTGTTTCCTACCAGCTCTACTCTTTCTAACTAGAGGAGTCAACACTTGCAGTTAGTGATTGCTATGTGATCAGAAGCATGAGCCTGTATATTTTAGCATCCCTATTCAAATCTGCATGCTAAAGTTTTTCTTTGAAGAAAAAGATAATGCTTCAGCATTCTCCTCAAAGATGTGTGATATGAAATAATGCAATGAGGCAGTAACTAGAAGAATTTAAGCCCTTTTAAGGCAGCTGCAGGAGGAAAGTGTCTGATGGGGGAAACAAACTCATTACAAAAATCTATTTTAAGAGCTCAGAAAGTGAACTATGCCCCTTGGGGGGATAGATGACTCACTCAGAAGGTAACAGAACAAATTTACCTTGGAAAAATTAAGGCTCCTTTCCCACTTTTCTAAAGCCAGCATTTTTTTCTTAGTATCTTCTTTTTAGATAGAACAAAATATAGTGAGGTTCATTTACCAAAAAGCTCAAACAGCCACTGTACTCAACGACCAGAATAATTCTCAAAGAAACCTATCATTACTGAAAAACAGAATGTGAAATCCTCTGTCACAGCAAACACTGCCTTCCCCTCACTGACCTGTTATTTGGGAATTCAGCTGTGAAAATAAGCTTGGTGCTTGCTTTGGAGGAGATGCTGCAGGTGGGAGAAATTAACTCATTGAGATCCATTAGAAAAATCTCTTCTAGTCATTTGGATTGACTTCAAGGCTGAAGGACTTCATTAAAAACGCATAAAGAATTGTTGATTTGAATGTGACAATCCTAAGACCTTAGCATTCTTTGTGTACCAGGTGTTGACCTACAAGAAAGCAAAGTAGATAGGGATTACAAAGATCTGAACTGCCACTACTATTCCAATATGAAAAGTTAGTAATAGCCTTGAAAAGAATGGCTATATTTTTTCAAATTAATATTCCACATGTGGAGACTATTTTGTGTGGAATACCTATTTTCTTTTTTTCTTAAAGTTAAGCATTAAGTATTAAAAGATCATCTGTTTATCTTCCACAATTATATAGCTTGGCAAGCCTGATATTTGCACAGTGGTGATAATTACTATATTTGCATGCGTATCATTTAATGTACTTCTGTATTTACTGTGATTTTCTGTATTTACTGTGATTCTGTATAAACAACCATAGTTATATTTTCCAAAGGTCAGGCATATAGTAAGAACTGTGTATTCTTCCATTTTTCTTTTCATTTTGCAAGAGATAGAACATTATGAAACAGCCAATTTCCAAGAATTAGTTAAAGGACTGCACCTCTAATTTCTGATATTAACTCCCTGTTTTCCTGCTACTAAAGTGGAAAAGTGAAAAAACGGCACTCTCAGTATGACAGCCAGTTTACTTCAATTCATGGTGAGGGCTGTGAAGACCTCATGCATCCCTTCTAAAAATCTCTTTGCCTACCTCCCTTAATTATTCTTTCAGAAACACTCTGTAGGACTTAAGAGGTACTCATGCTGACTTTGGGGGATTATCCTCTCTTGAAACATGATGTTTATCCTTCTGTCCCATTTTAATGAACAGGGATCTTTGGAATTTAAAAAAAAACCCAAAACAAACCCAAGACTTTTGATTTTAAACACTTTATTAATAGGTAGTTGTTCTTGAAACTACAGAGGCTGATCAGCCCCCCACTCCACCTGTACCAATAAATAGCTTTATTTGGAAGCTAGGGTTGGGACTAGAGTCCGTGTCCTATTTCTGATAGTTTGTTCGCACTTTTTATGAAAAGGCTGCATTGTCAGGGTAGCTAAAGCACAGGTCTAGAAGCAATAACAATGAGAAAAGGGCTAAACTGAACTGATAACGGGCATCTGAAGCGCTGGCATCCCGCCATGCTTACAGCACAACTACATGACCCGTCAGTACACTGACAAGCAAACAATAACAGGCTGTATTAGTTTTGTGTGAAGTTGCATCGACTATGATAATATTTTACTGATAATAAATCTCATTGTAAACTGAAAGGAAGTACAGGCTCAAAGAGGTAACACAGGCAGACATGGCGTGAAACTGTGCTCAGACAGTGTGCTTGGCCTACTGCAGCTTGCAAAGGCTGCTAAAAGCTGCCTCCTTCCACAAAGCTGGGGGCAGGGAACCCTTCCCTCACCTCCCCTCCATCATTTTGGTTTACCTCAGAAGCTGTTGCACGCTCGTTTAGATGAAGCAAGGCCTACAGCCCCTCTTCCAGTCCTGACACAGGAGGCAGCAGCAGCAGGGCGCTCCGGACGCGGCGCTTTCTGGTGTAAGCGTGCTACAGAAACAGGCCAGAGAGTGTCAGGGGGTATTTTCACGTTATTTTGGCAGGGTTTTAGTTTTGGTTTTTGCCTTTTTTTTTTTTCCCCCCCTTTTTTTATTTGGAGGGCTTTTAGAAACTAGGTGTTTAGCACAGGAGCAGAGATTGTTTCTGCCTTCCTGGTGCTTCAGACCCGCGCTGGGCCCACGGCGACTCCGCCGGGGCGGGAGCCCTCAAGCTCACCCGCGCCCCCGCCGCAGAGCCCCGCAGGAGGGA